ACCCCATTTTTGAAGAATTTGGATCCTCTCCACTACAAAAAAATAGTGGAGAGACCACTACTTTTAATCTCAAACGTTGATTACTTAGTAGACGGTTATGATATAATCTAAAGCTAACACTCATCATAGCCCCGCGTATTGCACTCATTCCTCATTTGTACTCAAAGAGAAAATCACAATCATCAAGTAGATAATTAATGGTTGTGATTATGTAGTGGACACTCCACTACATTTAGATAGTGAAGAGGATCCGAATTTGTGCATGGTGGGTTTTGAACAAATGGATTGATCTAATTTCGCCTTAAAACCCTTCCATTATAGAAGTGTGCTAAAAATTAAGAGTTATCATTACATACCTCAATACAAATCTCAAACTCTCCAATACTTCGTAATCTAAATTTCACTCTAGTTTCTAATATCCCTCGGTCACCAAATCTTCTAATATACACTCTTACAATTAGTATATCTCGCCTAATATTTCATATTTGCTTACTTACCTCTAAGAATCACTAGAGTATTAATACTGCACATAGGTCCGGCACCAGCCACTCCCTTCTCCACTTTTCCCTTTCTTTTTCCACCCTCCAACAGTTCTCACTTTACACGTTTAGTCCACTTTCTCCCTCCTCGGTCTGCCTCTATATAAACATGCCCTCTCTTGCTAGCTCTTCGCTTCTCTCTCTCGCTAAAAACTATATATTTAAAAAGATATTCAAGTTTGTAGATTTAAAATGGTGAAATTTTCAAGGCAACTAGAAGCCCAATTGATACCAGAGTGGAAAGACGCGTTTGTGAACTACAGGCAACTCAAGAAGCAGGTGAAGAAGATCAAGCTCTCGTTTCTCCGTCCCTCTCCTCCTCCATCCGACGGATCCGAGAGGGTCGGGTTCTCCGTTCTTGACCCGATCTACGGCCTCTTCGGCCGTTACAACCGAAGCAATTCGAACGAGGTACGTACGTAGCCTATTTCCTTTGGAATATATAGATTGAAGGTTGAACGTTCTAATCATACTCTTGTTTCTTCATAGTTAACAATCTTTTCAAGTTTTTTTTTTTTTTTTTTGGTCGAAAAAGCATGCATCGTGAGAATGAGATCTAGATGCGTGTTTTTTGCTACAAGTTTCAGAAAATCGGCAAAAGGGGATTAAAAAGTTCCTTGTCCCTTCACCGAGATTTCTGCATTTTTTTCAGTTCGCATTCGTCACGGGAACTGTTTAACTAAACTGAACTTTGACGTCCTATTTGCTATAATTAATTTGTTTGTGTTTGGTCTTTTTTTAGGAGGATGAAGAGAATTTGTACGAGATGGATCTCGTTCGATCAAGAGAAGCTGAGGTGATAAATTATGTTTTACATGACCAAATAGAGTTAGCTAATTTATGTTGGTCATTATTAATTAATTGATTTTTTAAATTATATATAGGTGAAGGATTTTTTTGAGAAATTGGACGAGGAGCTAGAGAAAGTGGATAATTTTTACACGTCTAAAGAGACTGAATTTTCCGAGCGAGCTGAAATTTTGAGCAAACAGCTTCAAATCCTTTTAGACTTGAAGAAAATACTCGACGAGCATCGACGGCGACGACGACAGCACAAGCCTTTAGTAGATAGTTCTCGCGGTAGCGGCAACGACCTCTTCGCTACTCTTAGCAACTCTTCATCGTTTTCTGGTAAACAAAATAATTATTAATATTGCGTCTCAGTGAAAATTAAGTATCATTTTTGGGAAATGGACGTGAAATGCGCGCCAACCCATTTTTCCTAAATATCATATTAAACAGTGGATTTTGAGCTAATTATATATCCAGTATCCTACTCCTGCAACTATTTTTTTTACCCTGGTGATTAATTAGAGGATTAGCGCCAGGCTAATAATTGATTATTTGTTCATATATAGAAAATGCATGTGATGACATGCCAACGGATGGATCAAGCTCTCCGATCACAGACGAGATAATAGCAGCGCTAGAACGGAACGGAGTGAGCTTCGTGGGCTCGGCACGGTCGAAAGCGAAGAAGGGCCTGAAGCCGAAGACGACGACGATGAGGATTGACATTCCGGCAACCAACGCCACGAAAACGATCTCGGCCGTTACTTCCATGATCTGGGAGGACATCGTCAACGGTCAACAACGGAAAGAGGGGTCCCCCGGCGGTGGGGGGGATAATATTAACCGCAAGAAAATACAATGCGCGGAGAAAATGATACGGTCGGCGTTTCTTGAGCTCTACAAGGGGCTCAATCTTCTGAGGACGTACAGGTTTGTCTGTGAACAATATTGAGTTCTTTGAGGGGTAGAGCTGTCATTTTGAGCTTCGCATGCAGAGAGCAACGTGCGTGTTGGCCTGTGAACTCAGCGGAGCCGAAGTTAAAAAGACTATTTTGCCCTTTAGCAGAGAGCAACGTGCGTGTTGGCCTGTGAACTCAGCGGAGCCGAAGTTAAAAAGACTATTTTGCCCTTTAGCAGAGAGCAACGTGCGTGTTGGCCTGTGAACTCAGCGGAGCCGAAGTTAAAAAGACTATTTTGCCCTTTA